CGGTCTCCATATCGTCAAGTTCAGAAATCACCTGTACTACACATCTTGTAGAAGGGATCCTGATCGAATAATTTTCTGGTCATAAAATTCACTAAACTGAGGGCGAGACAAATAGTCAGTACTCCCCGATTCCGTCAAGCTGCTTTGAAGTCTGGATGCACATGTGATGCTAACAAGCTCCCCGTTGTTACTTCCAGCAGCTTCACTTTCCCTGCGACAGCGGCTATCAACCTCTCTCTCCATCGTCGACAATTATCACAGATTCAACATTCTACATTTATCAGCACTGCACTGGGTGAATATGTCTCGAGACGAATTTAGCGGATCAACAACGCTTCGCTGGAGATAAATTCTCCTCTGGAGGACCTTCAGGGTACCTGGAAGGGTATAGAAGACGGGATCGCTCACGACGTTGAGAGAACATAGAAAACAACCTCCTCTTCGATTGAAAATTGGCCAAAGAGTATGTGAAATGTATGTGCGCAGATGCATTTCCACTGGCAAGCTAATCCCTCATTACGTCATCAGCGCTCGCTCGGCGAAATTCAAAAGTCGTCTTTCTGCTCGACTCGATCGCTTCTGGAGACTCGTTCTTGTTCGAGGGGTCTTCTCTTTCACCTACCTTCGTCTTGGCATCGAAAACTCGGCGTCGAAAATGAAGCCGGAGTGCCCCTTTAAGGAGGTTCGCGACGGTTAGCGCCATGTTGGATTTCCGAATTTTTTTCTGAAAAATAATGCCTTTCGGAGTGGAAAAATGGGACGCGATCATGCACAGAAAATAGTTTGACCATGACTTCGCAGCGCGTGCTCGAGTCGAGACAAGATTTGAGGAAGAAGCTCAGCCACTAGTGGACTTGCGGATTTGTTTTGACATTGGCGGTTTTTGGATAGCTCGGTTCTCCTGCCGACGTGTCGTGGAGATGAAGACGCGGGAGAGTAATCCGTCACCCACGACGCGGCCTCTCATTCTGCGTACTGGACGATGCAAGAAGCCGAGGAGGGGGACGCTTCGCAAACTCAAACGATCGATCGAGTTCCTGAAAAACGGAAAGGGCGATCTCCATCACTAACGCCACTGGATTCGACTCCCGCGAAGAGGTCGTTCAGTGCCCCTCTTCACGGTCGACGAATCGTTCATCTCAGGTATCTGGCTGTGGGATTGTCTGCGTGCCAGAATCCTGGATGTGGCAAACCTCTGGCGCTCATTGATCGCGTTGAAGAGAAGAGGTACGACCTGGGCAGCGTACTTGTCATTCCGTGTCAGCAGTGTGGGATGGAGAATTTTATAGATACAGATAGCCCTGTAACTGCTCAACACCCTGGCCCCCGTGCTTCCACAAGCAACACCAAAGCTGCTTTGGGTAAGTGCGTTTTTCAATCTCATAAGATTTACTCATGATATTTGGGAGTCATTGCCACCCTATGGCTATGGAAATGTATGAGCACACCGTATGCGCGGCGGCCGCGAGCGTCTGTGTGTTTGCATAGACCTGCATGTTTGTGCATGTGTGCACCATACGCATGTATGAACATGCACATGCATATGCGCTCATGTGGACTTGCCCTCGCACACAAACTATACACACGTGCATGACCGCTCCCAGGGCATGTTGGTGTTACATGTGTATGCGGGCATCTCCACTCATGCACATGAGTGTGCACATGCATGTGGGTGGGTACGCACACGTGCGTGAATGTATGTGTGTGTGTACGCGCGCGTGTGTTCTATTGCGTGTGAGAGCATGCATGTGTGTGTGCGTGTGTGTGTGTGTGTGTGTGTGTGTGTGTATGTGTGCACGGATGTGTGTGTCGATGGTGTGCATTTTTGTGATTGGTGAACACTCTGATCCCTAAACGGCGATACCGGAGCTCCCAAGCTACAGCCTCAGATTGATTTATAGTTCATCGTTGGGAATGAGTTCGCTGCTCATGATGCTGTTGCGGATGTTGCGGCCCTAGCTGAAATTGTCGAAGCTCGCCCTGATGCCAGTATCCTGTAGCACTCTGTCACTTTTGCATCAGCATGTTCGGCGATGAAGTTTGCAGAACAGCAAAAGCGGCTGGCCACCCTTCAACCGTTGGTCCAAGCAACGTGCTTCTCTAAATCAGTTGCAGTGCGGGCAGCTGCCAGTGGGTTGGTGATGAAGCACTTTGTATTGTCCTACAAACGAAGTGGTGAGCCAGCCATTTCCAGACTGATGAAGGAGCAAGTCGGAGGTAAGAAGCGGGTGACAGTCTCAAGGAAGATTATATTAGTGGTGGCTGAACACCTAGCGAAGAACCAGCAGCAACCCAACTGTAAAGAACGCCCTGTGGCACAGTGCTTCACTTGTTTGTGCGCACCGTAAAATACCATCATTTTTGCCAGTGTGGGATCACATTCTAGCTCGCATAGTTGAAGAACAAGAGGACTCAATGTTGTCTGATTCGTTCCAACATGTCAGCTTTCATTGTAGTTTGATATGGGGCAGTGCTAAGCGCTATCATAGCTACATGTACATGTATCACAACCAAGTGCCAACAGGAGAGTAATCATGGAGAAAAGTACCTATCGATAATGCGTGCACCCAGGGTTTTCCGGCAAATTTACTAGTTCAGCTATTCCATCCTTGTATTGTTCTGAACGCCGAGGGCTCTAGTGAGTTTATGCAACACCTAACAGCCAAAAATCCAATAAGTTATGACCAAAGCAGCAGCAGAGAAGTACAAGCAATATAGATACATGAATTTACCAATTTTAGGCAAATTTTGACAGTTTTTTGGATTTTTCTCCAGAATATGAACGGTGACCCCTATTTTCGCCACGGTAAACCTGTTCCAACCCACTTATAGAACGTGTTTGAAGTATCCACATATGGGGCAAACTCAAAAATAAGCTGCAAAAAATATTCAAAGTTTCATTTTTTGCGTCTTTTTGTTCTTCACCAGGAAATGACGACCTGGATCCCATCGTCAACCAAAGTGTACATTTTTCGGTGTTGATATCATCTAAGTCAATACCTCGAACAGTCTGTAAAATTTTATGTCATATTTTCTGTCCTAACTGATGTTATGGACGATTTCTCATCAATTTTGGGATTTTGTGTCATTTTGTGTCATCAAGGAAAATTGTGTTTTTGGCAAGACCTATTCAGGCAATTGAAAAACTGATGTTACTAAGCGAAAATATAAGGCTGTACCTATTCAAACCTGATGTCAGATTGGGCTGATGTTGAAATTAAATTTTTGGGCCTAACTGTCCCGAACCCCCTTAAAGGGGAAGTTAAGGCAAAAATTAAAATTTCACCAGTTGTAGTCTTCGGGGTGCTGAGTCGAATGGTCGTGGTCCGAGGAAGCTGAGACGCTCCCTTCCTACTTGAATCCCAATCGAACTCGCGCACTTCCACCGAAACTGGGTGACTGCGCCCTACTAGATGGGGATTTGTATGCAAAATGTCACTAAAAGCGCCATTTCGTTCTTATAAAAGCACGGATGACCGCGATTGGCCCATATGTTGTAGTCTTTTGGACGCTGAGTCGACTGGTTTTGGTCCGAAAAGGCTGCGATGCAGCGTTCCTCCTTTATTCCCAATCGAACATGGTTGAACAAGCGGTCACGTGCTCCTGGGTGCCCAAATCACCTGATCACCACGCCAGCAGGCGAGAACTTTCACACCAAGGTTCAACTCGAGTTCAACTCGAGTGACAGGATTGCACCCAAAAAAGGTCAAACAGGCTAGTAAGTTGTACCCTGCAGGCACGGTGACCAGGTGACTGGTGTACGCAGGAGCACGTGACCGCTTCTTCAACCATGTTCGATTGGGAATAAAGGAGGAACGCTGCATCGCAGCCTTTTCGGACCAAAACCAGTCGACTCAGCGTCCAAAAGACTACAACATATGGGCCAATCGCGGTCATCCGTGCTTTTATAAGAACGAAACGGCGCTTTTAGTGACATTTTGCATACAAATCCCCATCTAGTAGGGCGCAGTCACCCAGTTTCGGTGGAAGTGCGCGAGTTCGATTGGGATTCAAGTAGGAAGGGAGCGTCTCAGCTTCCTCGGACCACGACCATTCGACTCAGCACCCCGAAGACTACAACTGGTGAAATTTTAATTTTTGCCTTAACTTCCCCTTTAATTATAACCCCCATTTATTTGGGGTTATGTAGACCTCGGTGACTCTTGACACAGGTATACATTGTAATTTGTAGTACGAACGAAGGAGTCCGACTCTGTCCGAGCAGTAATGATACATGTACCCGGTACTTGAGAAAAAATACTATTTTTCTATTCCCAGATGGGGTCGACCCGGTACCCCTAGCCTTGATAGTGATACAGTAAGGGGCCGAGGCCAGGTCAGCCGAGCCAGTGACCCGGTCGGGGGACTTAGACCCGCCTGAGGACATACTACTGGGTTACTTGTCAAGTTGTGAGTTGGGTCGGATAATACCACAGAAAGTGCTATTGGTACTCAGCCATGCACATGCACTGTATGAGTGCAGGAGCACGCAATATAGTCAGACCTCGCTGAGTCAATGACTAATGTGCCTGTAAAGTTGACACGTCATGACCACTGCCACTGTGATACGTGTGACGTTCTAGAACGTCACGAGTCAGTGCGGAACTACATCGATACCGCGTTTCTTCCGTGGCGTGGCGTCCAACTGTACCGCTGCACAGAGGACTCCTAGGATGTACAAGTACAGTAACAAAAAAAATGCGAGTCGCTCCGTACGTTTAAACTGGAGTTACATGCGCGTGCATACATTTCAAAATACCAATTTCGCGTAAAATTACCTTTATGAAAACGGTCATAACTGTTGTAATCTTTTTTGTATTTCCAAAACAAAAACAGTTCTGTGCTCAGGATACATGAAAGAGTTGTTTGAAATCAAGTTTGCTCACATAGAGTGAATTAACAATTTTTACTGCGTGGCAGAGGTTTTCAATGGGCCCGGGCTCAAAAGGTTAATTAACAGCCCCGCAACCTGTGTCCACACATACAGAAAGGCGTTCTAATCACTCGGCACCAGATGCCTCACGTTCAGCTCAGTACGGTCAGGGAATGCAGGGGAAAGTGCACACAGATCTCAAGTGGTTATAATACAAGTAATTTGAAAAAAAGTCACACATTTTAAATAGTGCAGTCTGCTTGTATGCTTTCGGACGTATGCCAGCACCTGTCCAGATCACATACGCAATATTCTTGAATGATGTCACTCGGTGCCAGGACACTCCCGGACACTATCTCGTGGGTTGGAGATATCTGAGAGAACACACAACAGTACAAACAAGAAAGCTCACAAATATGATCAAAGCGGCGTCTTAGCATTACTATATCAACCGCGGGATAATCTCCCGCCAAACGAAGGCCAAATACTGTAAGTCAACAAATATACTTATAGAAAGAAAAAGGACCAAGGAACTACAAGTTACGCTATAATAGGGAGGTTTCGCTCTACGGAATTACGTATGAAAAGTGCTGTTGGGTTTTGCTCTACGTGATTTCTCCACGACTGCTAAACATGCGCTGTTGCTTTGGAGACGCGTTGGCTGCATGCGGCCACCGCATGCACCACGAACCGAAACCGCGTTTTCCATCGTATTTTGCACGTGGTGTACGGTGTGTGTACCTTGTGTTTCGCGCGGCTTGAACTTTGCCATGATTAAATCCGGAAAATGCGAAAAATATTTCAAAAAGTCATACGGAGGCCCCAACGTAGGAAACAGCTTTCCTACGGAAATCCGTAGAGAGATTTTCGTATGAAAAGCCCTCGCTCCCCGGCGTGTACGACATACAGATTTTCATACGTAATTACGTAGAGCAAAACCTCCCTATTCTATAATGTCCACTAACACCACTAGTAGGTACTAAACAATCCTGAGCTCATGCGATAACATTGCACAACACTGACGACGGTACTGGAGGGATTTGCACGCGCATTTGGAGCCTTGTATACTACCACGGAAAACTCCACTCGGAAGAGGAGGCACGCTGACCGCAGCATGGAAGCGTCTCCTGGTGAGATTCAGGATGGTGCGGTACCCTGCCCCACAATCTCGAAACCGGGGTCTCCACGCTCCACGTTCGATCTGGGACGCTTTCTGACGTGAGAACCACGAGTGAGGATGTACGAGGCGAAGGAAACACTACTGATAGTGAAAAATCGGAGTCAAGGTCCGCCTTCAAACCCGTGACGAATCGAGTCTACCCCTCCCAACCCACAGCGCCCGAAGGAAGCATAGTACGTGTACATGTAGACTACATAGTTGAGCAGTTACGTGTGAGCATGAGTGCATTCATGGAGGAGAAGATTGGTGCTGTACTACTGAAGTAGATTCTGTTGAGACTTGAGAGTATTCATGCCGAAGTTTCAGCACTAAAAATCAATCTTGAGGCACGCCTTGAGAGCTTTGAAAGTCGAACTGCTGCAGTGGAGGCATCCCATCAGTCTACGCTTAGTACGGTATGGGACATGGAAACAAGCATGGACTTCCTGTCATCAAAGTGTGACCACCTCGAGTCATCCATGTCTGATCATGCCACCAGCTACACGGATTCGAAGCACCGTATGAACAGCCTTGTAGATAAATTTGAAGAGCTACGCACGATGAACTCGAGCAGCCGTACCTCGCTGTCTGCCCGCCTGGCGGACAATGTCAAGCGGGTTGCCAAACTGACCGAGCTGCAGGAAGAGAGCAAGTCGTACCTCTCGACTGTGCAGACTGATGTGTACGACCACAAGCAGCGTCTGGACGCCTTGGAAACCCGCGGACTCTGTAGCACGCATGCAACAAGCGATACCGTAGCAGACAGACCTCCTGCCTCCACCCCACAGGTGATTCCTGAGCCGGTGCTCACTACCGAGGCAGAACGCATGCGGATTGAAGACCAGCGGCTGCAACATGAGATCAACAACAACGTCATCATCTCCGGAATGGCTGAGCTACCTGATGAGAATATTGCCAAGACATTGCAGTCCCTTGTGCCAGGAGCTGCTGCAGCGGATATGCAGGCACAGAGACTGGGTCAACCAGTAACAGGAGGCAAGCCACGGCTTATTCGAGTGCGTACAACAGCTCCTACAAAGACCATGCTAATGAAACAAAGGTGTAGCCTAAAGATTGGCGACGCTAACGTCTATGTCAACCACGATCTCACCGCCAAGCAACGCGCAGCACGAAGAGCAGTACTACCATTGTACAAAGACCTGAGAAAGATGGGCATTGCATGTAGTCTTCCAAGAGATACCATCATGAAGGACTGGAAGCCCGTTTCTGATGCTGAAGCGAAGAGGATGCTGGCCAGGGACGCCACTCCCCAGCAAGAGCAAGCAAAAAGCAAGGCATAGGAATTCTCGGGTCTCCGTGTTGGCCAGCTCAATTGTCAAAGTGCGGTAAGCAAACTGCCAGTGATTGAACAGCTGCTATGTAACTCTAATCTGGACGTAATTTTTCTCTCTGAAACATGGTTTCATCAGTCCCTCCTGGACACTGTGCTCAGATTAAATGGTTACAATCTGTATAGGCGCGATAGGAATAATGCAATACTTTCGTCTACTGGTGGTGGGGTAGCCATCTACGTTCGTTCCACTCTAACACCGTATTTCTCACGCTGCCCTCACCTTGAATCCTCCTCCCTAGAGGACATCTGTTTAATTTACCACAAACGGGACAACCCTAAGTACCCTATATGTGTTTTCCATGCATTCTATAGACCCCACATAGCAATGTTGCGGTACGAGATACATTCTTTACTGTCTTTCGCGCCACTGTCACTCGCCACCTAGACCATCCGCATGTCCCACTCCTCTTGCTTGGGGACTTTAATTGTAAATTATCTAGTTGGCTGCAATCAGATCCGGATACCACGGAAGATTGGCAGCTATCGACCATTCTCGATGACCTGGGACTTCTCCAACTTGTAAGTGGTACGCCGACACGCTACTCACCAACAGGCCGGTCCTCCCCGTCCCTTCTCGATCTCATCATCACAAACACTCCCCATCTTGTCACTAAGCCTGAAGTTCTCCCACCACTATCTGACCATTGCCCAGTCATCTGCAATGTCAAACTCCTCCAACCTCGAGAGCAGCACCAGACAGACATATCTATTCCGGATTATGCAAGTACAAACTTCGAAGCCATGCGCGCAAACCTTTGGGCACAGCCCCTGTACGAATGTTTAGAAGGAGCTAATAGTACCTCAATCGAGAGCGCTTGGTTTTCCTGGCAGAGTTACGCTCACGAGAGCATCCACCGTCACTTGGCTACACGTTTGCTCAGACCACGAAGAAAGCAGACTGCGAAGCCCTGGTTCACGGCAAGCCACAAGCGACTGCACAAACAGCGAAACCGGATGTTTGCCCTAGCCAAGCGAACCAACACCGTGCAGGATTGGGTTGCGTACAAGGTGGTTCGCAACGCCCTCTCGAGCAGCCTCAAGCGCAGCAAAGCAGACTACTTCAACCAATGCTGCTTGCGTATCGAGAGTGAAAAGAATAGTCACAGGTGGTGGGCACAAGCCAAGAAGCTCGCGAACATTACGAGCCAGATGGCTAACTTACCAATGCTAACCGACGAGAGTGGGGAAGCCCCATGCGACGCAAGCAAGGCAGAAAAGCTGGCAGACACGTTTGCAAGACAATTCTTGCCAAACCCTAGCTTCGACCTAGCTGCAGCTCTCCTGACGCCCTCGTTCTCTACACCTGACCATGAGTTTGATCTACCAAGAATAACCGAAGAAGAAGTCTTCCGAAAGCTCCGAACACTTCCGGCAAGGAAATCCACCGGAGGACTGATAACAAATAGAATCCTGAAAGAAACTGCGCCCGTGATCACGCAGTCCTTGTGTCAGCTTCTCAACCTCAGTCTTCGTCTCGGACAACTACCAGTAGACTGGAAAAGCGCCACTGTTATCCCGATATTCAAGAATAATGGACAACCGGCAGTACCCACCAGCTATAGACCAATCTCCCTCCTTCCGGCCATTGCCAAGCTCCTAGATTCGATCGTCGCAGCACCTGCCGAGGTACCTATCCAGACATGACATAATCTCTGCCCACCAGTACGGTTTCGTCTGCCGGAGGTCAACACTGGATCAGCTCGTCATGCTGACATCTAGGATAGCCAAGGCGATGGACAAGCGCAGCACCTACCACACCCTGTTCCTGGACTTCGCTAAGGCGTTCGACAAAGTGCCGCATCCAGTCCTTCTCTACCATCTGGGCACGTTTGCAACCCAGAACGCACTTTCGTGGTTCTCCAGTTACCTTGGTGACCGGCAATTCACGGTCAAAGTCACTTCCTCCGTATCCACAATCCGCCCTATAGCCGCTGGCGTACCACAAGGGTCCCATCTCGGCCCTATCCTGTTCCTTCTGTACATCAACTCTCTACCGCAGACCATCCCAGATGAGGACCACTGTCAAGTTTTTCTCTTTGCCGATGACACGACCATTGGAACGGAAGTCGCTGCACCTACCACTCCCTCTTCCCAGCATCATAGTCACCCACTCCAAGTTGCCACGGATGCCGCCCTGAAATGGGACGACTCGGCAGGTGGACGTTTTAACCCCACGAAGTCCTTCCAAGTGACATTCTCCCCTCGTACCAACGGACCGGACCCTCCAAATATTGGGCACTTGCGAATGAACCAGGAAGAAGTGCGCACGGTCGACACGCACCGACATCTTGGCGTGCAAATTGATAGCCACCTCAACTTCCAGTGCCACATCGAAACCATCACCACCAAATTTCGCCAACGTGTGGTACTACTTGCCCACATGTCGAGCCGCCTGACGCCGGAAGTTACAAACCGGCTTTATACTGGTTATGTCCGACCCACCATTGAATACGCCTCGCCACAGTGGCAGTTCCATCTGTCCGCATCCCAAGCGGCGGTCCTTGAGCGTCTGCAGGCCAGATTGGCACGAGTCGTCTTGAGACAGTACGGTGTGTTTCCCTCCGCTACTGAACCGAAGACATCTCTGTTCGCGCACCTCCAATGGCCCAGTCTGGCTTGGCGGCGACACGTCCAGTGCCTCCGGGAGCTCCATCACCTGGTCCACCACCAGACCACTGTCCTGATGGAGCTGGGCTATAGTCTCCACCAGCGCGCGGTGCCCTCTCCAACTTGTCCCGCCTGCCAGGGCGAACACCTACTCGCGTGCCACTTTCCTCTTTGTTACCGTTGCCACCTGGAAATCTCTCCCCACTGACATTAGAACCACCCAAAATAGTCATTGCTTTATGTCTCGTGTCCGTACCATCTTTGCCAACACCCGCTTTGAACATGCTGGTTTCATTCCTTCCAGAGTTTCTGTAACATAGAAACAAATGTTCTGGCTGATTTCTACAGTACGCATTTGGTATAAGCCTTCCTCTTCTCAATCTATATGTTATAATTTTGTAGATATATTCCCAGTAAGCCATGAACGGAGACCCCCTCGACTTAGGCCTCGGCCTTTGGGAATCCATAAATAAATAAAATAATTAATTTTTTTTTTTTAAATACTGACGTTCTACAACTAACTGGCTATCAGCTCCAGCACATCTTGGATACGCACTCCAACAGCCTTCCATCTTGGAAGGTTCTAATATATGATAACATAAGAGGGGAAGGTGAGCGCAACCAAGAAAAGCACGAGCTGAAAGTCTCAGCTGTGAAGGAATGTTGCGTGCGTCCTTTGCGTCCTTGAATCGTGGTTTGACCGTATTGTTCAATTGTCTTGCCAGCATCGTCATCGATATGCATGTACATCCGCCAACGTCCTTCACAGCTGAGACTTTTCCGCATCCGCAGGGACGCCATCACCCTCTATGGGTCAAGGTGCATATGCAGCTACTAAAGCGGTGGGAGGTGAGTAGATCAGACCCACCACAAAGTGGTTAAAAACCGAAAATCCCATTCGCTGCATCCACGCTTCCCTCGTGCCAGGCCACGAGTTCCCAATCAGTAACTGTGGGTCGCAGCACGACTGGAAAAAATCCTTCCGCTTCCAAGCAGGACTTGAACCTGGTACCCTCTGTTTCTCAACCATGGTCTTAGACCATCCCACTATGCCTGCCTATGCCTGTCTAGTTTGGGAACGGTTTATAGTGGGTATTGATTCGGTGCAGAAATATTGCCACGATGGTCGTGCGGAATATTTTTTTTAGCACCACTGACATGGCGCCCTGCAGCCCCATAGCAAGCGGCTGTTGCGTCATTCTTTTTCTTTAGCCCTAATTTCGAACTCATTCAGAAAGTGGTGGACATCACGCAACTACATTGTAAATAAAAGGGGGTTTGTCAACTCACAACCGCTCCATTCAGTTGCCATTCACTCGGCGCATGCGCTGGATGAAAATTCTTTTATTAGTGATGTCAAAAAAAGAGAAGAAACACATGAGAACGACTTATGCAGCAACTATCCACAACTGTAAAAAGGTGATAAACAGTCAGAAAGTGCGATACAGTCAGACCTCGCTTATCCGGTCCTCATTTATCCGGATCCCTCGCCATCCGGAAGAAAATTGTTGGTCACCGATTTACAGCAATGCTATGCACACACACAGTGTGTGTTTTCGATTATCCGGTTCCCTCGCCCATCCGGGTATTTTTGTGGAAAACGGATGTGTGCGTTTAAGCGAGGTCTGACTGTAATAGGGCACAAAACTGACAGGCGACTGAGACATTCAGCGACATGAGACCTAGCTCTAACACATCTCCAGTGTGCAAACCAACAGCCTTCCAACTTGGAAGGTTCATGGTTACGTAGGACCGAAGAGAGGAAGGTGAGCACAGCGAAAATATGCACAAGCTAAGTCCCACGGCAACAAAGAATGCCGACTGTTACAGGACGATGACGAGACCAGTTAATAACATGACAATGCGGTCTAACTACAATTCGAAGCAGCAAAGCAAAACACCACCCAACTGGGGTGGGTCAGCAATATCAGAGATAAAGGAAGGGAGGAAGCTTTGCGAAAACGAATTGTACAAAACCGGATGCCAATATCTAACGGTATTCCTCATGCATGACACTATTGTGGATAGTTGCTGGATAACTCGTTCTCATGTGTTTCTTCTCTGTTTTTACATTTATTACTGGCTCAGTATCCGAGTTTAAATTAGTGATGTCGAAAAAATATTTAATTTCGAACTACTCTGCTGCAATGCAACTGCCAACATGCATTACAAACCAGCAGCAGGTGTTCCGGTTAACTCTTAGAAGTGCGGTACAGTACAGCAATGTCCGGGGCCGAAGAACGGAGCGCCGAAGAACGACCAGGCTAGGATTTCACCAAGCCCAGCATACCAATGTATACGCGGCGACTCATCGGTGCATAGACTGTAATGCATGAAAATAAGAACGGTCTAGGCCAGGAGGCTGACCCCCAGTTCTTCGGTGAGCAGCAGCACCGTGCGCTTTCAGCCATCTCAGGGGTTTCCGCACAAACTCACATAAAACTCCGCACAGCAGACCAGGGGACTGTTTTGCGCACCACAAAGTAACACTGATGGATGGCAGTTTGGCTACACAACTATGCCATCCCTGAAAACTCACCATCACGCTCACTATGATATCAACATATCCGTCCATCTCTACTCAGCAGGTAACAGGTCTTTGAGCACATTGATGTGATGCGGATAGTTGATCATCAAGTCAAGAAGAAAGTCGCTGCTTCGCTGCGAGGGTCTGGCTCCGTCTTCGAGTGCCATCTAGCGAAACAGACAGAAACAGTTTAGAACACACACACACACATACACACACACACACACACACACACACACACACACACGTGCATGCACGCACACATACACACATTTAAATGCGACGAGTGTTCGCTCTAAATTCAGAAATATTCAGGGGGGGGGGGGGCGGGCGAAGTAGCACCTACAACGTTGGTTGACCATAATTATTAGCCTGATGTAACTTCGGACGTCCCCGAGTCTAAAGAACGGGAACCTAATCTCTTGCTGTAGTCCTCCTCAGAAAGAGACCTGAATATCGCCATTCTCTTGAAGAGGCCAGCCGAGGGCTTCAGCAGCAGGAAGTGACAAAGCCACGACTACTTGGGAGCCGCAGACGAACACAACATTTGCCTTACGCCACGTTGCAAAAGTGTGAACCCAGGGCAGCTGTAAGCATTAGTACGCATCACAGGCCCGCCACTTCTCTGTGGGTAGAAACCTTAACAGGTCAACCCCCAGCAGGGGGGGGGGGGGTGTTATATAGCAAGTAAGTGAGCAACCAAAGGTTTTTAAGGATATCAAGGGTCCAAAACATCAGATCAGGGTTTCTTGGTGAATATTCGAAGTACCGTAAAAGTCCGTAAATAAGTCCGTACTTACTTTCGAATTTAGTGGTCACACCCGTACTAACTTTCGGGCACGAACTAACTTTCGGACCTGACTTGTGTGTAGCGGAGAAGTCGCTTTTCATGTACCGGTACAATGTAGATGTGCATGCTATGTGCTGCATGTGCGAACCATACCGGTACTTATTTCGGGCAGTATGTTTATCGGGCTGAACTTGACTTCAACAGACAGTCCAAAAGGATGAAGGGGGTATTGCTTACAGAGTCCAAAGGATGAAGGGGGTATAGTTTACAGAGTCAAAAGGATGAAGGGGGTATTGTTTCGGGCAGGTACTTTACTTTTTTTTTTACGAACTTTTACGGTAAGATAGTAAAGCAGAATTTCGGTCGATTTTTTTTCGGTCGATTTTTCGGAAGGACCTTTAAAAAATCAGAGCATTTCCGAAAAATTGGAACAAGTGGCGGCCCTGGCATCATGCATTTCCACTCACTGGCATGAAGTAGCATCCTCGACAGACAAGAGCGGACGCAAGGAGTGCGACTTGCCCACTGGCTATGTCACCGGGATAGCGTAGCAGATTCATCTCACTCGCACTCAGGCAGGCCACGACACTGAAACCACGACGCGTAGCTGCAGTCATGTCTACTGCTACACCATCGTACACATCAGCTGGATACGCAGCAGTCTCCACTGGTTCATGGTCTTGGTTGAAGATGCACAATGCCTGAACTTTCGTACCATCCACCAGAGATATGCCAGTGGTGTACTTTGGGCCAATAAAGTATGACAGCATGTCATACATTTGGCCTGCGTGCTGACTTTTCACGTCTTCCTGGAACTGAACTGAGAGCTTGTCCATTATCTGTTGCCGCTGATCAGCAGTAACTGGGAGTGTGTTGTGCATGAGTAACTGTTGCAGATGATGTACATCGCAATCTGCACAGAAGCCGGGGCAGAGGAACACAGATAGGCCGCCAGCACGTGCACACACACACACACAGACACACACACACACACATACACACACACACACATGCCTCTCGATTTAGGCTAAGGCCTGTGGAGAATCCATAAATACAAAATACAAATACATGCACACACACACACACACACACACACACACACATGTACGCACACAAACAACGCTTACAGGCATACACACACACAAGGCTTACCGGCATACACACACACAAGGCTTACCGGCATACACACACACAAGGCTTACCGGCATACACACACCATGCACACACACACATGCACACACACACACACACACACACACACACACACACACACACACACACACACACACACAAACTCGGCACTGGACATCAAACAAATTCACGCAAACAAAAGATGACAACAGATGATCATTGGCCATTTTCCACATCAACATACTCAAACATGAAGCCACAGAAAAAGCGACCATAGAGCATGAAATCGCAACGGTAGCTGTTCGCAACTGTAAATTCAACACAACATCTTCCGGTCTTTTCAAAACACACCTGACCCAGCAGTATTTAGCGCAGAATTAACCATAGGAATGGGTCGCAAATTAAAAACCCAACTGCAACATCGGGGGATGTACAGATGAATGCTTTGAATGTTCTTTCACAGCAGCTACTTGTAGATGTGTGCAGACAATCCACAATGATCAACATGCACAGTCACTACAGTGCATTCATTGGAAACTGGCACCCTAACTTTTTGGTGTCTCTCTCACATAGTTGAAGATATCGTGACAATAACAGTACATCCTGCATTGTGTGACCCGTGCAATCACTCCTTGCCACATTTGAGGCCAGAAAAGTCCAAGAACAGGGAAATAGAAATGCAGCCAGGTTTTACAAAATTAGGAAAGGTATGCCGTTGCAAAATGTATGGAGAAGCAGATCCAAAACCCAGATTTTTGAGATTTAAAGTGGGTTTTTGATCCTCAATTCGGCCCAAATCCGACTCTCAAAAGCCAGCGGGCCAGTTTCCGATGAATGTACTGTAGTCTACAGTGTATAGTCTATAGGCTTTGTTCCAGAATAGACTTACTCTGGATCAGTTGATCAACACTGATCAGCTTCAGCAAGGCACTGCACTCTACACCACACAGTGTACAGTAGAGAAGCAGTGAGAGTACTTCAGTATCGCGGAACATGGGATTACCCGTAGCGTGTATCGCCAAGTAGCGAGTCATCAAGCTTTCGGCCAGGCACGGATCGGGCGTGTTCAGCACGAACAGAGCGCGTGCGCACTGGCCAACAAGCTTGCATTGATCAATGCGCTCGGCGTCCAATTGTCGCTGCAGCAAGTCCATGAACTCCGGCGTCGTGCATCGGCACCGGGCCGCCCAGTGCAGCACCATCCTCAGCTGCTGCTGGTTCTTGCCTTCTTGCCAGAGATCAGCGGGCAAGCTAGCGAGGTGATTCAGCACGGCCACAACCAGCTCGGTCACGTCACTGTTCTCGTCGGTGACGCGAGCGCACGCCTCCAGGATAACCCGGAGCTTCTTCACGTTCTGCATCTCGCCCATGTGGCAGTGGATCAGAGCGCACCGTGAAATCAAATCACCGGGCTCGAACGTGTGCGTCTTGATCATGCCGGCGGACATCGAGTCGATAGCAGCAACGGCATCTTGCACGGTAGTGATTCGACTGCCACCCCGATCTGAACACCACCTCACTGTTTGACTGGGCCATGTCGACGCCTGCATGGTCGCGAGCATGCTAGGAGCATTTCGTCTCGGCGATGATGTTCTACACGCACAGTAGCCGCGCTGAACGCAGCTACTCACGGTCTTGAGATTGGCACGCAACTTTGTAGCAAACATGATGCCGTAGGGTCGTTGTGCCGGCAACACTGGATTCCATTCACTCTCTCTCTCTCTCTCTCTCTCTCTCTCTCTCTCTCACACACACACACACACACACACACACACCACCGTGTACGTGTGCAGAGTACAGGGCAGTGCCGACTACTGGTAGTGTGCTTGGAGAGGCTACTGTGGATCTGTACAGAAGAACACACACACACACACACACACACACACGCACACACACACACGTGCACACACACACACACACACACACACACACACGCACACACACACACACACACACACACACACACACACACGTGCACACACACACACACACACAGGCGAGATATGAGTCATATGACCGCTGACTCACTCCCATGACATCATCCAATCTGCTCACTCGCCACCATGACATCATTCGCATACTAGCTATACAGGTTACGCGATTACATCGTCGGTTTTAGATGATTTGTACGGACTGGTAAAGCTGCGGCGCTGCGATACACTACCTCAAGCAAAACCGCCGACACACGCTGCGTACTCGACTCCCATACGCGAATCTGCGGACTCACGTGGGATACTCAGCGCCCATAAGTGAATGCCCTAGTTCACCACCAAGACCGGTAGAAGCAGTTTTTGAGTGGTCCGGTCATGCCCCAGCCTTTCATACCTTGTGTATGATATATGGAGGGTATACACATGATCTCCTCAGCAATAAACACATGTTGGTGGTCAAAAAAGCTGGTCTGTCCATGACCTGACCAACCGGACCGGCTCTGCCGGGCCTGTGACATCATTTCGTAAAACCTCTATACAATGTAGTTTGAACTAAGTTACTTGGTCAACACCAATTGAAATCCGGGAAAACGTGTCAATCACACGCAGCCCATTTATTTCGGTCTTGGGTCACGTTTGGCACAGTTCAACAGCCGGCCATACAGTCCAGATTTGTTTAGGTGTCAGAAAAACATTTCTTCCAGTTCACCTCACCTGTACGTGTACGTCAATACCGCTGCACGGGGAGATGTTCAGCACTGAACACTAGCTTGCACTGTCGAGTCTTTGTGCTGATCAGGACTGTTGTGCGTGAAACTGTGCACGTCAATACGGGTACTGTAGCTAAAAACCTGGGACAATTCCACGTAGACAGCTAAATGAATAGAAAGTGATGTTGGCGAATGGCCGAACAACGGTGCTAAAATTCTGAATATACCGGTACTGGTTATGCCTGACGCAACGGAGCTTGGGACTGGGACGATGAATTCGAAGACAACAACAGATCTTCACTTCACACCGTTCATTCATCTACATAATAATATGTACATAGCTACAGTGTAATTTTGGTTTTGTCGACATTGTTTTCTGGATGTTTTGACTTTTCGAGTCATCATAACTCACTCGGGGTTGGCGTCACGTTGACCGCGTCCATGATTTCTTTGCATCAGCTCGATCCAGGACGTCAGGGACATTTTGAAGGTCAATTCGATTAGATTTTTTTTTTTTTTTTTTTTTTTTTTTTTTTTTATTCGATTAGATGCTACCAAGAGTACATAAACCCGCTACCTTTTTCTGTTTTGCTCGATCAGGGACGTCCCCGGACATTTTGAAGGTCAACTCGATGCAACCTTTTTCTCATGTTCTGTCACTGTCAGTGTTTGAAAATGGCCAAAAGTGGGTCACGTGTTTGAAAATTGACGAAAAGTGAGTCACGTGCACTGTACAAGTAAGTTGTATATGCGCAATGAATTTTTTTTACGAGCAGAAACCAATTTAGAGAGAAACAACGATATTTTGCTCGGTTTTGCTAGCAATTTCTTTTTCAGGAGTTTCGATATTTTGCTCGAAGAATTGCTAGCAAATTTGGTCTGACTCTAGTCGATAGGACATGCAGCTGGGAGTCATAACGTGCGACTCCCTGCTATCGCCGCCTGCGCCAAGCGCATCGCCACCGGAATCATTTTCACCCCAATCTCCCTCGAGCCTTAAGTTAGCGGCATGCCGCTTGGTGCCTCTGGATAAGAAGCCCGGGGTGCGCCCAATCGGCGGCATATGCGAAGTCCTCTGAAGGATAGTAGGCAAAGCTATCCTCACCATCATCGGAGAGCAGATCCAACAGGCAGTCGGGTCGCTTCACCTGTGTGGCGGCCAAGAATGTGGAGTGGAAGCAGCAATCCACGCAATGCGGCACCTGTGGAACGAGGAAGAGACCAAAGCAGTCCTCCTAGCAGACGCGAGCAATGCGTTCAACAGGCTGGACCGCAGTGTGTGCTTGCACAACATCCGTCACCTCTGTCCGGCCATCGCGGGTGCCGTCACCAACACCTACCGGCATCCTGCACGGCTGTTCGTCGATGGGGAGTGTCTCCTTTCTGAGGAGGGCACCAGCCAGGGAGACCCGATGGCAATGCCAATGTATGCCATTGGGCTCCTCCCACTCATGCAGAAGGCGGCCAGCACCTCAGCGGCACAGTACATCTGGTTTGCGGATGATTCCATAGCAGCAGGACGAATGCGGTGCGGCGCCTGCTGCGTGTGTGGTGGAACACGCTTGAGGACGAGGGCCACAAGTGTGACAGCCTATTACTTAATCAATGGCGCCAAGTCCACTCTCCTGGTGAAACCACAGTTTGCCAAAATCGCGGAGGAAGTATTCCATGGGACCAATATCGATATCATGCAAGACGGTTGCCGTCCCTCAGGCCTGGGTGCGGGACTGGGCACTACTGCTTTCTGCAAGCAGCTTGTTGCAGCGAAGGCACGGTCGCAGACAAGACACGCCCAATCTTAGTACCTAGAGTACCAAACGTCCTGTTTGATGATCAGCTGGCTTAGTTTCTCTCCACCTCTATCCTTAATACATCCCTCCCCAATTTCATTAATTACTGCTTTCTATCTGCATTCGCCACCTTTTTATTGGGCAGATCTGCCCGTTTGGTTTGCGAATTAAAATAAACACAACAACAACACAACAACAATCGCAACTGCAAGCAGCGTACACGGTGTTCACGCAAGGGCTGAAGGGCAAGTGGACATCCCTCGCTCGCAACCATGCCAGAAGCGACGGAAAATTTCTAGCTGCTGGAGGAGATTATCCACGGCGAGTTTATCCCGGCGCTCACAGGACCAGACCACCCGCACTCTCCTCGCTCTGCCTTGTCGCCTAAGGGGGGGGGGGGGGGCATGAGTAATCAACCCGTGCGATCTCGCCAGCCAGTTTTATGGCTCCAGGACCATCACGCAGCCATTGGTGGAGCGGATCATCCCGCAGAACACCGACCTAGGCGATGTTCACCACACCATGAAGGCAGAGACGGCGAAGGTGTGCAGGATCAAACCACTCGGTAAGGGAGAAGGAGACCCTGGGCACTGTGGAAGGGAGCATCGCTTCGGACTTTAAAAGTTGGTTTCCATGGCGGACCAAGACTCCCTGCTGACTTTGAGCCTCTGTTTGCTGTTTCACCTCCACTCGGAAAACCTCCAAAAATGCACCAATCCGTCTCCCTAGCTAGGCCTAGGCCCTGGCCCTGCAACAGTACTGCTACACACGCACATGCACAGTCAGCTTGGTCACTACCCTCATCAGTTGAGCTTGTCTTGTTGAGTAGGTTGGCTGCTATGGGGAGGAGGGGGGAGGGGGGGGGGCAGAAAAAGGAGAGAGGAAGGGTAGAACATAAATAAGTGAGTCAACCTCAGGGCTACACTAAAGCAAAAACGGAATGGGAATATACTGTTGCCTGATGATTGCGTGGGCATGAAACTTGAAGTAGCAGCAAACAAGCCTTGATTGTCCTTGTTGTTCTGTTGTGTATACTATATATACAAAATAGCATCATAAACTGGTGGCTGGGCTCGGAACGGAGATCAGGCGGGAGCTGGTTCCACAGGACTGCCCCCCCCCCCCCCCCCCCCCCCCGATGAGCTGCATGGTCGCTCGACCCGCAAGACCAGGCCAAAGTGGTACTTGTAGAAGGTGATGTGCTCCTCCCCGGGTGCGGTCACCAGTAACCCTCAGGAAGAAACTGGTGAAGAGGGAGCTAGCTCAGGAGAGCAGACAACGACGGCCAAAGACGAGGAACTTGATGTTAAACGAGTTCTCCAGGGTGTTTAGGCGGAGCTAGCTGTTGAAAGATTGGGCTCGTGCGCGACCACGGTGGCAGACCGAAGAAGCCGCGGATAGCGCACTTCGTTAGCCATGTCAGGGGCTCCATGTTGCCAATTGCTAGTGCCGGATAAAACGTGTTGGAAGCGTATGACAACCCACCCTGGATCATCGACCTGCAAAACAGGATCTTTGACGCCAGGGTGAGGCTTCGGCGGCTCCGCCACAGCGCACCTACTGACTGCCGAACCTGCTGGATTGTGTGGTTGACGTGAGGCTCCCAGGAGAGCTGACCATCTACCATTATGCCCAGTTACCGCACTTGTTCCACAACTGCAAGGGCTGCATTCCCATAGCGAATTCGTATGTCATTAAGCAGGCAGGGGCTGGGCCTCTTGGGGTAATCAACAGCGCCTGCGTTTTCTTCTGGTTCAGTATTATAGTCCGCGGCCCTCCAACCACTGCGACAGGCCAGTGATGGCTGTGCTTAGAGAGGAGCACACTTGTTCGCAGCTGCCCGAGGCTTCGATTGCAATGTCGTCTGCAAATGAATTCCCCCAGACACTGTGTATGGGGGGGGGGGGTGCTTTCTTGCAGGTTTGCCTAGCTAGTCAGTGGAAGGTGCGCCATGACGTGCTCCTGCGAGTCTGGGTGTGCTCTGGATGGCAGCCGTGACTCGTGAGTCAGTCAAGCGTCAAGCTCGACAGAAAGTGTGTGCTCCACGTAGGAGCAACCAACTACTTGTAACAATAAACTTCATCATTGAATACTGGCGAAGTCGCTACTTCTTATGCATTAGGGAGTTGTCTATACAACTCCCTAATGCAAAAGAAGTAGCGACTTCGGTTGTCATTATAACTCCCTTAACTCCCTGACGAATATTTACTGTAGGTCATCTCTAAAATGGCCCCCATTGGATGCTGTGACTATGGGAATGGCTGGACTTTAGCTAGGAACTGAATAACATCGCGCAACTACAACTACAGTCATGTAACTTAGTTAGACACACATGGTACTGCCTTGATTTTTGAACTGGTTCGTCTCTTGTACACGTGATTGATGTGATGATGTGAACATGGAACATCATCTCCTTTAGCCCTCCTGGCTGCTTCTTGTATTTTTTCTGTTTCGTAGAACATGACTTATGCTGCAAAGTACATGTATGCTGTTATCAATCTGCAACATTAGTAATCTATGCCACTATTTACATATTTCCGAAGCAGACTTCAAGCATTATCAGTGCTATTTTGGAGCAGAATGCGACCATAATAATTATTGAAAAGCAGAATCCATCAAAGTCTCGAGCATTATCCTCAGTGACCTATATGACCATGTGAACATGGAATATGGAACATCATCTCCTCTCCTGGCATCCGGAGGTGTTCCGCATGCGCAAGACATAATCCTGGGCTCTGTCCCATTTTTAAGTTACGACTCACGCTCGACTCTTGCGGTTACCTGTCCTTGCTGTAGAGAGCGGTACAAAGCTTCTCACGGTCTACTGATGATAAGACCTTCCACGCTTCCTCACGTGACCTAAAGGTTCTTGCCAAAACATGTGCACTGTACAGGACACCGGCACACGAAGATATCTCTTATCTACATGTACATGCTTTTTTCCGGTGCTACGATATTGGGAGTGCAGCCGGGCACAGTATTTTGTGCACACCAGCTTACAGCTTCAGCCCTACTGCAAGAGACGACCCTCTTCCGAATCTGGAACCTGTGCGCCGGTCACAAGACTCCTAACTTAAGCAGCCATTACAGTGTAGCACAGTGTAATTCCGTTTGGTAAGCTACCATTGTAGCGGCTGGCTAACGAGTAAGCATAATGATGATACACCTGCATGTACATGTAGATCTACGTGCAGGTGTTTGGTGGTTCATGTACATCAGGGAGTCGTACCCGAACCACAAACCATAGTTTGGGTACGACTCCCTGATGTACATGTACATGAACTTTGAATTGAACTACTTTGAAGTATCTACATGTACTTCTGTACTGAGTATTGACCCATTGGCCAGATAACTCAACGTTGGGTAAGAAGTACATCGGATAGTAAGCATTTCTCCACTCCCCAAGGGCAAGGGGTGGGGGGAGGGGTGCGTCTTATCCGAGTTCCACTACAGTACAGGAGCAACCAGTAAAGTGGACATGGAGTTGCTTCGTCAGGACTTGGCTGCCGCTCGACTTCATGAGTTTGAAAACCATGACGATGTCACCAAGAT